TTCAAATTCGTCACTTTTTTTTTAAATTTCTGCCACTTTTTGAATTTTAGTTACTTTTTTAGTTATCTTGAAATTTCTATTACATTATTTTAGTGAGAAACATCACTTTTTAATGAAAGTGAGATTGTATGTCATTTTTTAATAAAAATATGACACTAAACTTTTAAAAGTGACATTATGTCACCTTTTTTTTTTTTTTTTAAAAAGTGACAATTTTTATTAAAAAAAAGTGACATTGTGTCACTTTTTAATTTTTTACTTCTAAAAAACTTTTCATATGATTTTTCAAAAAATCTTTAATTTTAAGGATATTTTTGTAAGTTGTCCCAAATTAAATAGGACTAATTGGGCAGGCCCAGTCTAGTCAATATTAATGGGTCATTCGCACGGCCCGCCTATCATGATGGGTTGCTCATAAAATGAGCTGGGGCAGTTTCGATCCTGATTCTTAACCAATAGAACACTGGAATCTAGACCTTTTGATTCGTTTTGACACCTTTAACTCAATATTTTACTATATTTTGTCATGTAACATATTCGGAAAAGTATAACAATTGTGCTATGACACGTCGAATCATATGTTTAATATCAATTTCGTTGTTGCCCAATTACATTAGAACTCCCAAATCTTTAAGTGGAAAATACAGCGGATTCAAATATTAGATTTGAAATTGTTTTGTTCAAAAATCAGATAATAACTTTTTAATATTATAAAATTAAATAAATTTAAAAATCCACCACCCAACAAAACCCTCACCCAACTCAATTTTCAAATCTAAAATATTTTCATCTCCGCGCTTTCTCTCTCTTCTCCCTTACCTGCCTCTCAACTCTCTACAGCCTTTTGATGACGCACCCGCGAAAAATGCAATTGTACTTCGAAAATACACAATAGTTGTGTCGCAATCGCTCAACCACTCAACTGTGCTCCTCGTGGAGAGGCGCTATGCGAGGCGACAACTTTCGACGATGAGCGCGACTGTTTAGGCATTGTTTTTGTGGGTGATTTTTGGGTTTGGGTATGGCTTCTTCCTTCTCCTATCTGCTTAGTTTTAGCTGGTTTTTTGTTGTTGATTGTTGGTTAGTGATGGCGACGACAATGACAGTGATGGTGGTGGTAGTGGTTTTGTATTTGTGGTTTTACATTGAGTTGGTTACTTTTGATTACGGATATGGGGTTTTTGTGGTTGGTGGTGCAGGTGGTTTTTTGTTGTTGATAGTGCAAGTAGATCTAACAGTGTTGGTTGTGGAATTTGATGGTGTGTAGAGGTGGATTTGGCGCTGTTGACAATGGTGAAGTGGTGGTCGCAAACGATTGTGGTACAGGTGGTGTTGGTGGGAATGGCGTCATGGTGTTGGTGGCAGTCGAGTGGGTCGAAAAGTGTTTGTGACCAATAAATTGGTTAATTGTGACCAATAAATAATATGTGATTGTGAGATATAATTTGTGAACAATTAATTAGATCATTTGTGACCATTAAATAAGTTGTAATTTATAAAATTTTTGATTTGTGAGATAAGCGAATTGTGACCTATAAAATTATTGATTTTGTGATCGATGAATAAATTGTGATTTATAAAATTATTTATTTATGATCGAGAAATAATTTGTGACCTGTAAAAAAATTTATTTTTGATCAAAAAATAATTTGCAACCAATTAATTTGAAAATTTGTGAACAAATTGTATGAAATTGTGACTTTAATATTATTTAAGTAATAAAATAAAATTTTAATTAATTATTTCATAAATAAAATTAATAATATTTGATTTTTGAAGTTTTAAATCTTGCTTCTTAATTTTGAAATGGGGTTATAGTTAAACTCCTAGATATGAAATTTTCGCATACTTTAATTAGACCTTTAGGAGTTAAATCACTCATGGTTACCTGTCCATTTCAATGTGTACGAAGTTCAATATTGGAAATAAAATAAAATAAAATTGAAATTATGTGGTTTTGAAAATTTACTCGAAATTTATTGCTGAGTTTGATTGGCGCAAGAACTCACCAAAACATAAACTTGCCTTTATGACTTGACTTCTTAAAATACATTTTAATAATTGAAGTCCTAATTCACCATCCAAAAATACATTTTAATAATTGAAGTACTAATTTTGAAGTGTTGAAAATGTACTCATGCCAAATTTCAACTTGAATAGATTCGTAATCTTCAATAAATCTTCGATAATCTTATTGTGACTTGTTCGAATCGAGACATCAATCCTATAAATCGTATATTTAAGAAGACCCAACAAATTAATACAAATTTAATTCAATAAAAATAAACATTAATATTATTTTTCTTTTAACATAATTGATTTGGGAAATGGGTTCTTCTCTTACAACTTAGAGTTATTCTCGATCTCGAATAATAAAGAAATTCTTACACACGATATTTAGTCAATCCTCGATACAATAATATTGTCTCTCTCTCAAGAAATTGGAAAGTCAAGATAAAATTTGAATAGATAATTATTTTTAATAATTTATATTTTTTTCCCTTTATGAATCTCATCCTCACCTCTTAAGGGAGAGTCATATCCAAGCCATTGAGCTAGGCCTTGGTTTCAATAATTTACATTTTTAGAATGAAGTACTTCAAATAATATTATAATTGACAAAATTTGAGTTCAAATTTCACCACTTACCATTTACAAAAATTGTTAAACGTCGGCCAAGTTATAGAAAATAAATTAGAATTCATTTTGACGTTCCTGAAAGAAAATGAAATAGAGTTGCACGTAAAATAAAAAATGTTTATCATAAGTATAACTATTTATTTGTATTTAAATTTTACCATTTTTGTCACCACTAGCTTATTTGATCCATCCATTTCGACAACATTTCTTGAGATTTGATATTTTTGTTCATTTCCATTGCTAACTTTGAGATGTGGCTATGGACGATTTGTAGTTTTATATTTGCAAGTTAAATTATTAAGTAAAATTATACAATCTTTTACAAACCTGAGATTATATGTATATTTGATCTATGTAAAAGTTTTATCCATCACGGACCATAGAAAGAGAAGTCAAGAACAACATCATTGTCTTTTACAAGCCCAGGGCTTCCAAACCTGCTATGTATACGGAAAAAGAGTTGCTAGGGTTGCAACAGATAACACTTGACAGCTTTCGATTGGAAAATGGCAAAAAAATAAATAAATAAATAAAATTCAGATCAAACTGATGCTGTCACTATTATTTCCCCTGTACAAGAGGAATTGCCGTTAATTGTCACCCATATTTATTATTTTCGATTTAGAAATATGATGAAGTCCTCAAGGTCATGCCATTTGAATCGACAACTATATTGTTTCAGTTGTTGTCTCAAAAGGACAAGTAAAGACGCTCACAGTTAATGAAACATTATAATAACTAGAAGTCCGTGAATAAATTATGAACTTATCTTTTTGCTACTTTAGGGTCGTCAGAGTTACGGTCGTTATTTACCAAGACCCCAATTTTTAGATAGTTCCATTTAGGTCACCGATTTCCTTGATCGTCCGACATTGAGCAAGTGCTAGCCCCCTTTTCTAGTTTCTAACATAATTGCATATATTTTTAGTTCGAACTTCTATTATAATGAAATCTTGAAAAATGACATATCCAAAATGTGCAAGTCTCATAATTCATAATTTTTCTTATGAAGAACTTCGAAAGGGATCAAAATAATTGTTCAATAGTGGACTTGGTGCTCATAAAGTGTGAAAGCGTGAAAGTTTAAGTTCAAACATGATTAAGCTTTGATTGTGAAATGGGTTAGGATTTTTCAAATTAGAATAGGACGCGTTTAAAAATCATTCTTCTTAAATCAAAAGCACATTTATGGGTCACTTCGTAGGCAAGAATGTTGATTAAGTAAGAATTTTTGCTTTCGCAAAATGTGTGGATAAATTAGAGTTTAATCGAATTATAATAATTTATACGCATTTACAAACATGGACTATGTTTTGACAAGGCCTAAATTATAATCTAAATCAGAAAAAAATAAAAATAAAAATAAAAAAATTCACACATCGGCTCTAACCACACGAGATGAGCTCACCCACCGTCGAGTATGCGGTTGGTTGGTTAATCTAAATCAGGGAAAAATAAATAAATAAATAAAATTCACACAATGACTCTAACCACACGAGATGAGCTCACCCATCGTCGAGCATGCGGTTGGTTGGTTAGGCCAATTAAAGAATTTAATTGAATAACCAATTAACTCCGTCCACCCAGCAATGGATTAAATGCGCGTTGGATATCGACAATTGGCACAGATTTCTTGACCAAGAGAATATGCTTAAATGAGGCTGGGTGGATGAAGCCATTTCCATTGTCATGTTTGAAAATTGAAAAATGTCATACAAGGAAAACAAAATTGAAAGTCGCGATATTTAACAACTTCTTGAAAAGTGTAATGATTGGTTTCGAGTATTGAAATACATGGACCGATCCACCAGATATTCAAGCTTAACTTAAATGTTGAACTCCAACTTTAAGGGTTCCCCACCGTTCCTGCCCTGGAGCATCGTGAGGGAGGTAAATCGCAGCTTATGCCTCCAAGGATACAGGATGGAAGGCTGTTTGTATACTTGCACTTACCCAATAGCCAAATCCATATTTCAGGATTCGAACCCTTGACTTGACAGCCTCAAGCAGAGTTGTATTTCTCCACCTTCCCTTTTCCACTTGGAGATGTGTCCTGGGGCCATATTCAAGCTTAACTTTCATATGAACATGTTTGCTTAAGTTTTAAATGCCAGCCAAATTTACTCCTAATTTAAATTTTGTAACTTTTCTGGAAAAGCAATAAATTTCCTACTTATTTTGAATTTAAATAATGCAATTTAAAACTTACTTACTCAATAAGTAATTATTTTTAACCTCAGGCAAACATCAGCCCGCATTAATTGGCGTCGCATTGAAAATCCACTAGAAAACAAAGTGCGCTTATTCTTCTCCTGTCCAGTTGGTGGGGTTTGAAATAGTATTAGAGTGGGGTGGTGTTGATTCTAGAACTCCTGCCTTCAATATAACTTTCTCTAGATGGTCCAATCCAATCTTCTCTGTTCTTCTATATAATACCTCAACCATTTCCTCACGAGGAATTGCAAATATCCACGTTCCTTTCCAAAGGGGAAGTTATGGTCTTCCTCTCCAAAAATGAAGAAACCAATGGAAATTGCTAAAATCATCAAAATTCCTAAACACGATCTCGTTCATTCTCGCGTTTTTCTGTTTGGTTTCTATTGCTGGGATTGGGAATTCCTCACTGCTCTATTGCTCTTTAGTTGTTCTTTTTGATTCTCACCAGATCGTACGAATTTATACAGGAATTGAATCAATTTGGTTTATTAAGTTTTTTATTATTATTTATTTTAAATAGTTTTTGAGGGTTGAGATATGTCGCAGAGGAGTGTTCCAGCTCCTTTTCTGACGAAGACGTATGATCTGGTAGACGATCCGAGCAGCGATGATGTGATTTCTTGGAATGAAAGTGGTACAGCGTTTGTTGTCTGGAAAACTGCTGAATTTGCGAAGGATTTGTTGCCTAATTACTTTAAACACAACAATTTCTCCAGCTTTGTTCGCCAGCTTAATACTTACGTACGCCTCTATTCTCTTCTCTTGCATCATATTTAGTTTTTACCTAATATGCACGTGTTCTTCATCTGCCGATGATGTTTGTTCCATTTACCGTTCCGGAAGCAGTTAACTCATTTTTTGCTGAGATTTATGAGTTACAATGGTTATTGATCCAACCGTGTATTTGTGTTAGGTTTGAAACTTTGAATTAAATTGTGTTCAATGGTAGCGTTTGGCTTTCAATCTTGTCGATAAATGATACCCTTTCTTTCTTTCATATTATATTAAAAAAAGGGTTAAAAGTAGGAAGTGGTGGGATATATAATTAAAAATTATGGGAATTTCGTAGTTTTTCGTAGAAACTTCCTAGATTGAACTTCATTTTCACACCTACCCAATGTGATTAATTAAAAATGTTTCGGGTGGGGCCCAATAATTGCGATTTAGACCTTATTGAAAATAATAATAATAATAATAATATAAAATTGGATCATCCTTAGGAAAGTGGAAGCAGTCTCAAACGGGCCTATGTGAGTAAAATTCAACTATTATATGTCCCCATCCCACGTCCATGGATAGGCATGTAAGCAAAATTGTCCCCCTTTGCTTCCTTTAAAACTCTTCAATTTAATTTAATTTTTTATTTTTCCTACTTTCGATCACACAATCTTTAATAAAATAATATTACACTCAAATCGAAAAATTTTCAACAACACAATCTTAAAAAAAAAAGACTATTCCCCTAATTATAAATTCAAATAATGGGGGCCAAATAGGGGCTAAGTTATGACGTCTTGGGCTAATGTTGAAGATAAAATATGACAAAAAGAAGTTGGGGACATAAATCTTATTAAAAAAAAAAGAAAAACTGAAAATCTTAAGTGCAACAAATAAATACTGTGGTGTAGATATGATTACCTTCCTAATTTCATGGTTTCTTCTCCCCAGAAATAGAGGCGTAAATGAATTTGAACCCACGTCCATGGATAGGCATGTAAGCAAAATTGTCCCCCTTTGCTTCCTTTAAAACTCTTCAATTTAATTTAATTTTTTATTTCTCTTACTTTCGATCACACAATTTTCAATAAAATAATATTACACTCAAATCGAAAAATTTTCAACAACACAATCTTAAAAAAAAAAGACTATTCCCCTAATTATAAATTCAAATAATGAGGGCCAAACAGGGGCTAAGTTATGACGTCTTGGGCTAATGTTGAAGATAAAATATGAAAAAAGAAGTTGCGGACATAAATCTTATTAAAAAAAAAAAAACTGAAAATCTTAAATTGCAACAAATAAATACTGTGGTGTAGATATGATTACCTTCCTAATTTCATGGTTTCTTCTCCCCAGAAATAGAGGCGTAATTGAATTTGAGTTTTAAATATTCTTTAAAATCTAGTTTAAAAATTAAAACGTTGAAAATTTGAACCGTCGTACGGTCAATATTTGTTGCTGCGCTTATTTTATTTTATAATTTTTTAAATAATCCCTTTATGTTCTTGCCAAACTTGGGTTTTTTATAAGAGAGAAAATTCCAAATTGGTGGTATGATGTCTGCATCAATATTTATGACCTATTTGGCGGTGAGCCGACAATAGCGTTCGACTTTAGATTTTTCCATTTTTTTTTTATTCGACGGCTGGAAAGTATATTTTGATTATTTTCCCGTTCAGGCTTTTCTAAATTAATTTAGTATAGTTTTTAATATTGAAAAGTAGAAATATATGTGGTGGCGGTCAATTACATGTGCTTTTAGTCCTAACACTTGCAGCTAAAGTCAAATAAATGTTTGTTAGTGGTAGGGTTGTTTCATTATTAGTTCCCATCAGCACGAGGGTACTGTTTCAGACAATACAATACAATTATTTTGTTGCTTTTCATGAATACTTCTCTAGAGCTACTGAGATTTTCTTAGAGCATTTTAGTGCGTTGAATCAAATAGAACATCGTATGTATAATTTACTTACTTTATCTTGTTGTTACATATTACATTTGGATGGATTTTTGAGATAAAATTAAGCAAGAACTTATTTAAGATATCAAGCTAATCAAAGTTGTGCAATAATTAGTTAGCAATTAGCTTCTTACGTAAATTTTTTGGATAGGGCAATGCTATGTTTGTGTGTTAAAATGGTAACATATATCCTCTTGTTCCTCAGGGCTTTCGAAAGATCGTTCCAGACAAGTGGGAATTTGCCAATGAAAACTTTAAGCGTGATCAGAAGGAACTTTTAATTGAAATTCGTCGTCGGAAAACGGTGCCTTCACAAAATCCATCAGGGTTAAAGCATGTGGTTACTGATAGCCCAACCTTGCAGGAGAACTCTGGGGATGACCTTGGCTCGAGTTCAACCTCATCTCCGGACTCCAAAAATCCAGGGTCATTAGGAACACAAACATCGGCACAACTTGCAGACCTATCTGATGAAAACAAGAAATTGAAGAAAGACAATCATATGCTATGTTCAGAGCTGGCACAAACAAAAAAACAATGCGACGAACTCATTGCCTACTTAACTCAATGTGTAAAGGTGGCGCCAGAACAAATCAACCAGATCATGAACGGTAGTGCCCCTATCGTGGACGAGGCGCGTCCATGCAACAAAGGTGTGGGTGATGAGAATCTTGGTAATGATAATGACGAAAATGTAGACTGTGTGAAATTATTTGGAGTAATGGTAAAGAAGAGGAGTCGTGACTTGAATATTGATTTCTCTGAAGTACATAAAAAGGAAATGAAAACAACGGCGGAGGATAGTGAGTCTTGGATGAAGGTTTCTGTGTCATCCCAGGAGAATAGCAAGGTCTATAGTTGATCATCTATAGCGTGCATCGTGTTAATACTCATATGGCACTCAATATATTCACTAATGAGAGTGAAGATACATAGAGAAGCTATGAAACCTTTGGGTTGAGTAGTTGTTCTGTCGTCTTAATGTAGTAACTAGTAAGGTTAATAAATTTTAGTGCAGTTTAGCCGGCTTGTTTACGAGTTGGAAGATCAAAAGCAAACGGGTTTCCCAACTCTTCTATACATCTTTGTACACTATATGTGTGATTTTACACTTGTGCAAACCAAAACTTATGGTTTTGAAATTTCATAAATAATTGTAATGATTTTACTTTTCACTATATTAGCGTCCCCCTTTTTAGTGTCATATGATATTTTTAAGGCTGTCAAAATAGTTTTTGCCGGTATATTATACAAGAATTTTGCTAAACAACCCGCGCCGTTCACCGCACCCTCACAGGGCGCACGGGTCCCACCTGAATAAAAAAATGTCGACCCCATGTGTATGTGTGTGTGCGGTCACCCGCGCGGGTCGTGTAGCGTGGTCCATTATACAAATACAATTCTATATATTTCACGTCAGGTAGAAACTCACCCTAAATCAAGAAAAATCCAAAATTCAAGAAAAGCAAGAACTTGAATTTCATGGAAAAAATAAACATATCAAACACCTTAAAAGTTGGAAAATGTTGTTCAAATTCCATTTTCCATGGAAAATTTAACCCAATCAAACATACCTAAATGTAAAATATTCTCTATCATGCATAAAATGTTTTTTATGTTATAAAAGGAAAGTTTATTAGGGTTTAGAGGTGAATGACAATTACATCCCTGCAGCCCTAGAAATAATTACTATTGTATCCCTAATTCTGTCATATAAATACAGGGCTTTGATTTTTAATAAAATATACATAAGTCTATTGACTTCTCTCCGTTTTCTACTATTTTCTTCACTTTTATAACACTTTATCAACACGAACACTTAAATCTTCCAAATCTAGTGAAGGAGGTAATTTTTTTTATCATGTGTACCAAAATTAATTTGGTGATATGTGAATTATTTTATATGTACACAAATACATCATAACGACGCAAACTTACGATCAAATTGTAACTTTTTTTTCCAATTCACGTCTATATATACATACGTCTGTTTGCATGGCCGTATAGAATTTAGTTCACTTATGTTTAGTCAATTCGTGTATTGACATGTGCATGAATTATGTCTTTGAATTCATGTCTATATAATATTTATGATTCATATCTGTACATAAAATCATGTCACTGAATTAATCATATGATGTCGAATTCATGAGTTTCCACTTTATCATAACCCCGTTTGCATAAATATGTCTTTAAATTAATTCATGTTTCTAATTAATTAATCCACAATAATACCTGCAGCATAATTATGCAATTCGTAACTAATTAATTCATGAGTTAATTGATTGCTTCTTTCTACTTAGTTTGATGAAAAGCGATTTACATAACCACGTAATCTGTTAATTGATTTCTGCATGTCATAATCATTGATATTTTTCTTCATCTCCACTCAATTCATATTAATGAATTCATGCCGATATTTTACGAGTTTTTGCAAATTTATTAATACTATCAACATGGCGTGTAATTGAATTTTTTTTTTTGTTTAGTAATAAAACATCAATTATTACATTCATTCTTAATTGTAGTTGTTTCTGAAGTAGCACAATATTATAATTAATATTATTGGAGAATATTACTTGCTCCTGAAGAGTATAAATTATATTTTTCAATATTTCAGAAGAATATTGACATATTGATCTTGAAAAAATAATAAAAAAATATAACGTGTTCCTGAAGTAACATATGTTTCGAAAAACATATTATTTTAGTGTTTATCCCCGAAGGAAAACACGTAACTTATTTCATGTTGACTTGACTACTCGATTAGTTATTGTATGATGTTTAATCGTATTCTTCGAAACTAAATTTATTTTCTCTTGCTTTATTGTATAGTTACTCAAATGACAAATATCACAAAATTTGAGTTTGCTGCACTTGACATCTCTGGCAAAAATTATTTATCGTGAGTACTTGATGTTGATATTCATCTTGTCTCAAAAGGTTTAGGAGAGATAATAAAAGAAGAAAATAAAGAATCCCTATAGGATCGTGTAGAAGCACTCATCTTCCTTCGTCATCATCTTCACAATGGACTGAAAAATGAACATCTTACTGAGAAAGATTCGCAGGTTCTTTAAAAAAATTAACTGAAAGATTTGATCATCAGAGGATTATAGTCCTTCTCAAAA